CTGTAGCTCCCTTGGACCTTGCCTCCTGTAGCTCCCTTGGACCTTGCCTCCTGTAGCTCCCTTGGACCTTGCCTCCTGTAGCTCCCTTGGACCTTGCCTCCTGTAGCTCCCTTGGACCTTGCCTCCTGTAGCTCCCTTGGACCTTGCCTCCTGTAGCTCCCTTGGACCTTGCCTCCTGTAGCTCCCTTGGACCTTGCCTCCTGTAGCTCCCTTGGACCTTGCCTCCTGTAGCTCCCTTGGACCTTGCCTCCTGTAGCTCCCTTGGACCTTGCCTCCTGTAGCTCCCTTGGACCTTGCCTCCTGTAGCTCCCTTGGACCTTGCCTCCTGTAGCTCCCTTGGACCTTGCCTCCTGTAGCTCCCTTGGACCTTGCCTCCTGTAGCTCCCTTGGACCTTGCCTCCTGTAGCTCCCTTGGACCTTGCCTCCTGTAGCTCCCTTGGACCTTGCCTCCTGTAGCTCCCTTGGACCTTGCCTCCTGTAGCTCCCTTGGACCTTGCCTCCTGTAGCTCCCTTGGACCTTGCCTCCTGTAGCTCCCTTGGACCTTGCCTCCTGTAGCTCCCTTGGACCTTGCCTCCTGTAGCTCCCTTGGACCTTGCCTCCTGTAGCTCCCTTGGACCTTGCCTCCTGTAGCTCCCTTGGACCTTGCCTCCTGTAGCTCCCTTGGACCTTGCCTCCTGTAGCTCCCTTGGACCTTGCCTCCTGTAGCTCCCTTGGACCTTGCCTCCTGTAGCTACCTTGGACCTTGAATTTATAATTAAAATGCCATCCTTGAGCTCCAGTCAGTGACTTTGCCTAGGTTGGGATGATGTCATAAGTCTACTGCAGGCAGGAGGAAGCATTTCCTCAGTCTCCCCTCCCCCAGTGATCAGTCTACTGCAGGCAGGAGGAAGCATTTCCTCAGTCTCCCCTCCCCCAGTGATCAGTCTGCTGCAGGCAGGACACAAGCAATTCCTCAGTCTCTCATGTCTCTCAATCTCATGTACTAGAGACTGAGTCATGCGCTGAGGAAATGGAGATATGAAAAGTCTACCTGTGTTCAGTCCGATCCGCAGCTTCAGCTTCGCGTCGGGCACGTGCCGTATGCGGAAGGTCAGCATGGAGCTGAGGAAATGGAGAGACATTGTACAGATCTCTTCCACGTGCTGGATCCCGTTCCGGAGAGGAAGACCGCTGGCCACCATATACGCGTCTCCGATTGTTTCAACCTGACGGTAAAGCTAAAGCTTAATCTGCTTATATGTCACCTTTCCTGGCCCCTCCCCTCCCCCCTCATAAACATCATAATGACATTTTTTAAGACCCGAGAACTCAGCACAGGGATGGTGGGAGCTCCTCATAATGGGCACAGTGAGTGTACAGACCCGGGAACTCAGCACTTTGGCAACAATGGCTACTTCTAGGGCCGGCACAGACATGTCAGTGTCCCCAGTAAAGGAAGCAGTGTGTGTGTGGGCGGGAAGCGGTGTGTGTGTGGACAGGAAGCGGCGTGTGTGTGTGGGCGGGAAGCGGTGTGTGCATGGACAGGAAGCGGTGTGTGCGTGGGCGGGAAGCGGTGTGTGCGTGGGCGGGAAGCGGTGTGTGCGTGGGCGGGAAGCGGTGTGTGTGTGGACAGGAAGCGGCGTGTGTGTGTGGGCGGGAAGCGGTGTGTGCATGGACAGGAAGCGGTGTGTGCGTGGGCGGGAAGCGGTGTGTGCGTAGTGTGGACAGGAGGCGGTGTGTGTGTGTGGGCGGGAAGCGGTGTGTGCGTGGACGGGAAGCGGTGTGTGTAAGGACAGGAAGCGGTGTGTGCGTGGGCGGGAAGCGGTCCCTGTACCTTGTATACGTCATACGCTTTGATGATTTCATCGAATAGGCTGTACAGGTCGTTGAGCAGATCCACCACCTGCAGCGGAGTGCTGGAAGAGCAGAGCGTGGTAAAGCCCACAATGTCCGAGAAGAAGATGGTGACCGAGCTGAAACTTTCCGGCTCCACCGATTTACCGGCAATCAGCTGCTCTGCAATAAAGCTGAACAAAAAGAAAGACACTTAAAGTGGACCTGTCATCACATATATTCATCATGTTAAGTCCCTGTATGCTCAGTAATATGTCATGTGACCCTTTTGGGTTTTTATTACCTCTCATACAGATCACTGGACTCCCCCCCAGTAATGCCGTCATCTGCTCTTCCCTCTGGAGCCATCATTGTTCATTCATCATCCAGTGTCATCATTAGGGTTCAGGTCAGTCAGAAGGTCGCTGGTTGATGGTGACTGGCCCGCACAGCATCATTGGTTGCTAGGACAATGGCGGCCCCGGTTTTGGTTCACCTTGATTTCTAGCTGGGACTGGTGAGCATCCAACCGAATCAAACCCAGGCCGGTTCACTGATCACTAGTCAGCAGTGATAACTACATTCTTGATTTCACTATTTTCCATCCTTTGTTCCATCTCAGTGCTGCTGAGCAGCCTCTTTACAGCCACTTCCCATCTACATGCCCTCCAGTGATGGCTGCATGACATTACTTAGGGTGTGTTTCCTGATGGTTACAACAGAGGGCCATGTCTGTGTGTCCAAACCGCCATTTGTAGTCTCCAGCATGATTGCATGTGACAGGGTGACAACACAGTATCAGGATTGGGAGACGGGACAGAGTGTTGTCACCCTATATAAAGAAGCACCTGAACTAGGAGCTCCATGGCAGGATCACCAGGGATTATTTTAATGAAAGATCCTGAAAATGGCATTAAAGATTCTATGAGATTGTAGTGATGGGGTTTATGTAGACATTAATTAAACTGCTTTACTTTAAAAACTTCACTAAATCTCCTTCACCATTCTTACAGAATCTCCGGGCCGGAAAATTGAGCATTGTACTCAAGAAGCTATTTTATATTATTATTATTATAATTATTATTTATTATTATGTTATTTAATATTGTTAATAATAATAATAATAATAATAAAAAATAAAATGAAGACATTTTATGGGGCTTCACAACAGGGAGGTCATGTGATGTAACAAGAAAGACCTTAAATGAATAAAAAAGTTGTTTTCCTTGCCAGCCATGAGATGATATTATAAAGAGATGAAGAACAATTGATACAAAACTGATACAAAGATTCCACAATGAAGGGATGGGAATCATTGTAAACTGTTGTGTTGCGATGCTGCCATCTTGTGGTGAAATATGAGTAAGTAGTTCAGGTTACGTATTTTCTAATGGCTCAGCATTTCTCAACCTTTTTCCATTCACGGCACCTTTTAAAAGTATGCAAAATTCGGACACCCCAGACTAAATGTGAAAAAAGATGTGTGGCCCCTCCAAAATCCATACCAGACCCTTATCCCAGATGCCAGGGTCCGGTATCTATTGTTAGAGAAGACCTCACATAAAAACACACACAAAATATGGTGTTCCACTTTACAGCAGAGTCCTTCTTCAAATTAGGAGCCCCCCTTCCATTTACATCAGCATCCCCCCTTTCACATCAAAGTCCCTCCTTCAAATCAGAGCCCCCACTTTACATCAGAAGCCCCCCCCCCCCCTTCACCACAGGAGCCCCCTCTCCAGAACAGTAGCCCCCTTTTCATATTAGAAGCCCCCCTTCATACCAGAGCCCCCCTTCCATTTACATCAGCATCCCCCTTTCACATCAAAGCCCCTTCCACATCAGGAGCCCTCCTTCACATCTCCTTGTAGGGGTCCCTGGAGACCTAGTGTGGCATGGAGGCATGGAATCTAAGTGCCGCTCTTCTCCAGAGATCCCTACAAGGAGGTTTGAGTCCCATCACACTTCCAGGCTTCCAGCTTCATCCTGCTGGTGACAAACATACAAAGTAAACTACTAAGCTAAACAAGAGAGCTATTCATACAACGTAGGCCGGGGCTGGAGGTGCTCAGGCAGACCTGTGTACAGGACAGAAGGTCAAGGCAGGTGGTAGACAAATAAAGGTCAGAGAAGCATTCGTCCACATTTGTTACCAGAATCAATTCAGAGCAAGAAGAGGGCTCATTTAGAGATTGTCATTCTTCAGGCTGAGGGGCACCTGAAGGCTGCGTTAGGTCTGAGCCCTGATCGCATATCAGCTGTGCAGAGATGGACGGAGGGCGGACATGCAGCCAGAGATACTCATCCAGTTCTATAAGTAGAGATGGCAGCAAATGCCCAACCTGTCTCAGCATGGCTGCCCCCACACATTGCACGGCTCCTGATTTAGAAGTTGATGAGCTGAGGGTTGTACATGACTGAGCTGTGAGTGGTGGAGGAAGGTCACCTCAATGTGACAACTGATCACTCCCCTGAAGCTTTGTCACCGAAGGGGTAACTTCGGCCCTCCAGCCGTGCTTTAACTACAAGTCATGCCTCCACCACTGAGAGTCATGCCTGGAACTGTCAGTCCTGCAATGCCTCATGGGACTTTCAGTTCCACATTAGCTGGAGGGCTGAGTTTCCCACCCCTGGCCCTATGTGTCTTATCATTTTACCTCGGCAGCATGGTGGACAGCAGCTTGTCCGTCTTCTTCTTCTCGGCCAGCAGCTGCACGGTGCGCTCCTCCACCACGTCCTCCAGGTGGTTGGCGTACTTCTCCAGCTTGTTCACCATGTTGTCCAGGATGCTGACGTGTCTGCGGAGACGCATCAGATGGGGACGACGTTATTCGACAGAGGTCAAGGCTTGGTGGCCCTGCGGCACAGAAATACCTCATTCTGGTTGGTGGGATCCCAGCGAGGGGGGGCGTGGCTCACCCTTCAGGGCTGGCTCCTCGCAGGCTCCTCTTTATGGAGGAGAAGGACGGCCGCCGGTCCGGGTTCTCGTCCCAGCACATCTTCAGCATGGCGATGATTCGCTCGTTACATTTCTCCACCGAAAGGGACGGCCTCATCGGAACCGCGGCGTTCGGGTCTTTGATCTTCTGAATGACTTCTGGATTTGAAATAAGAAGATGGCGATTTAGGTTTAAGGAAGCTTCTTTGTCTGCACCGCCCTCTATATATGAAGGTCTGATGGGGGTATTATTATTAAAGTGTATCCTTAGACACAGTGATGTAACTAGAAATCACAGGGCCCAGTAGCATAATTTTGTATGGGGCCCCGTGATTGCTAGTTATGCCACTTGAAGAGCCCACCTGATATACCAAACAGCCCACCTGAGAGTGACCCTGCAGAGCCCACCATAGACTCTCTATAGTGGACTCTGCAGGGTCTCAGATGGGCTGCACACCTCTTACCTGTCAGCGCTGTCTGCCTCCGTTGTCGCCGGGCCCCGCCTCCTCTTCTATCGACGGGCCCCGTCTGCTCTTAGGTCGCTGGCCAGTGATGTAAGAGGAGGCGGGGTTGCTCTTAGGCGGGCCCCCCCTCCTCCTTCACTGCGAATGCCGGCCTCTTCTACTGCAACTGCTGGCTGTCACTGACACTGTGAGGGGAACGCGCCGCGGCCGCTGCACACATCACTGACAGGTTGTCAGTGATCTTCACAGCCCCTGCTGAGCTGTGTCAGTGACAGCCAGCACCCTTACATGCCATAGTGACCCAGGCGGCCTACACGGCATCAGAGGGATGCCCTGGCCGGGACCCCCTGTGCCCGGGCCCCATAGCGGCCGCCTGGGTCGCTATGGCGATTGTTACGCCACTGCTTAGACACAACATTTCTATACTTTTGGATGATGACATCATTGATAGGACTTCTCTATGCAATGCAGGAAGATTGTGATTGGTGGGAGGGGCCAGCAGGGTGCTGTACTTCCTGTACCTTCCTAAAAACATCACAGCACCCCTCTCAGGAGCCCTTGGCCCTGATGCAAGCAGTGAGTTGGCTCTTGCAATGCCTCATGAGACTTGTAGTTCCACAACAGCTGGAGTTGCCCACCCCTGGGTCTATAGTTCTAGACTAATGTGCTGACAATGGTTCTGCCATGTTGGGGTCATTGTTCCGGTCTGTTCCGGTTTTACCTTCCGGGTCCATGCTCAGGTCCTGGAAGGGTCCATCCTCACTGTCATGGATCAGCTCTCTCATGATGATGGCGAAGCTGTACACGTCTCCCTTCTGGGTGCCCTGGAAGGGGAATCTCCCCATTCGTAGCAACTCCGGAGCCGTCCAGTAAAGCTCTATAGACAGAGAGAGAAGAAGCTGGTTATTACGGGGGATGGGTGGGCGGGGGGGTTATCCTTCATGAAAATGGCCACACCTATTTCTGGCATTGAACCCAACGTTTTCAACACCCGGAACCTGGACAGTAATAAAAGCTGAACTCCGGGCGAGCAGCCTAAATAAATATAACGGAGATCTTTTACTAGAAGATATGTATTTCTGACCATCCAGTCCTGAGAATTACACAGCACAGCCCTTTGGCAGGGCAGGAGACCTGATTTGTCTCTGCTGCAATTAAGTCACACTTGCAGGTCTTGTCCCCAGCCTGTGATTGGACAGTGAAAGAGCAGCGGCAGACTAAGGAGCTCATCTCTCTGTTACTCTGCTCTACTTCTATCAGCAGGCCCCCTGCACAGCTGATTGGCTCTTGTGCTGTTTCTGGCTTTCCCAGGTCTGAGCTCCGCTGTACTGCAAGAGGCTGACCCCGGGTTACATTGTTGCATTAAAAAAAAAAGATCCATTGAATGATGTCATGATGACATTTTGTATCCTTTATATCTGCCTGGAGTTCAGCTTTAAAGGAAACCCGTACTAAGAGACATAATCTATTGATATTTAAAATAATTTTTTGTTATCAAACGGCACAGCAGGATACGTCACGACGTGTGTAGGCGACATTTTCAAAACCTAAAGATGGTGGTATGGTCATCACTGAGAGAACCGGCATCATTGAGCCTCAACAATAGCCCAGTTTCGGGTGGAGCGCCCCTTTCATTGTTCTACATATGAGGTGCCCGCGTACCGGAGTAGACGACATTTTTCAAAGTGATGTCACGATGCGTCGTTCCGTGTCTGAATTCCCACAACGCAAAGCCGCAGAGCTTGACCTGCATACGGCTGTCTACCAGGCAGGTGGTGGGCTTCAGGTTCCCGTGAGAGGTCAGAGGGCTGCTGTGGAGGAAGCCCATCCCCTGCGGAGACATACACAGCTATGCTTAGAACAATGGTGAAGGTGGATGGGAGGTCCTCTACATACCTGACCAGTGGCCCTCAGGCCCTCCATATGTACACCACACCCTGATTTCATGTCTGTATCTGGATCACCCCGCTATGCAGACTACCATTTGTCTTGTTGTGTGAAGACTCATCAGATGTCAGGCAAATGTGTGAAGGACAAAAGTCCCAATTACTGATTACAAATGATCTCTTTGTGAAATTAATTCAATGTGGATCCATAGCCAAAAGTTTTGTACAGAGTCAGACACCAATAAACACATTTGCCAGATATCCTAACACAGACTATCTCAGCCAGGGCTCTGTGGGCCTATAGGGTTCCTCCAGAGGTTGTCAGGGGGTCCCTTGAAAAATGATTATTCCCACTGACCACCATTTGGAGGAGTATCTGACCGCCAGTATAAGGGGACCCTTCTCTGGAAGACCACAAGTGCAAAGGCGATCTTCTCCCAATGACCACCAGTGTAAAGGGGACCTTCTCGCAAAGGCCACCAGTGTAAAGGGGACCTTCTCCCAATAACTACCAGTGTAAAAGGGACACTTTTCCCAATGATCACCAGTGTAAAGGGGACCTTCTCCCAATGACCACCAGTGTAAAGGGGACCTTCTCGCGAAGGCCACCAGTGTAAAGGGACCCTTCTCCCAATGACCACCAGTGTAAAGGGGATCTTCTCCCAATGACCACCAGTGTAAAGGGGACCTTCTCGCGAAGGCCACCAGTGTAAAGGGGACCTTCTCCCAATGACCATGAACGTAAAGGAGACCTTTTCCCAATGATCAAAAGTGTAGGGGGGCCCTCCTCTACTGACCAAGCTGGTTGTGAAATCTATACAAATTCCTTTTGGGGGGGTTTTGTTGAATCTTAGAAGAAATTGTACAGTTAGATGGGGGACATGTGTGGACATCTCAAGGAACAGAAAACAAAGGGGCCCTAATGTAAACTTCAAATGTAAACCCCTCGGATCTCATACAAATACAAAAGTGTTAAGAACTTAAGAGGCTGATAGACGAGTAAAGGGAAATAAGGGGAGCAGTGAGCAATGAAACACAAAGCTGCATATTGAAGGGGCTCGGCAGTTACTTTTGACCCC